ACAAATTTGCATGTAATTTACAGTAACTGTGAATTGTACCATTATGACAATAAGATGCATCATGCTGAATTATGATAATCATGGTCAAAGATCACTAGCATAAGACAGATCACTTCATGATGATGTCATTGCTGATGACACAGATGCCGGGAATAACATTCCTGGGATAAAACATCAGGATATATTTGAACTAGATTATTCCAAAATTAAAATTCGGTCATCATTTAATCACCCCCAAGTCATTCCAAAACTTATTGACTTTCATTCTGCGGAACCAAAAAGACATTCTGAAGAATTCTGCTACTGCTTTTGTCCATACAATGAAAGTCAATGGGATCCAATGATGTTTTGGACGCATTGACTTTCACTGTATGAACAAAAGCAGTTGTACCATTCTTCTTCTTCTTAAAAAAAAATACATATATATTTCAAAATAGCCAGATGAGGATGATTAAATGATGACAGGATTTTTCATTTTTTGAATCCTTTTAAGTGTCTGGCTCATGACCACAATGATGAAAGCAAGACTGAGATCTCAGTACTTCTCCAGTACCTGGATCAACTGAGGACTGATCCTGAAATCACTGTGTTCGCAACCCAACTCATAACCACTTTACTACCATTACAGGTGCTAAGCTAGGCACAGTTATTGAACTACCTAATCGACCTTCAGTGCCTCATCTAATTTACATTGTCACACCAGAGTGCACTACAAAGCATAGGTATATTTCTAATCTAACTCTAGAAACTTCTTTTGCTTTATTTCATTTAGCATGTCTAAGACATCTCAGAAAAGACTTGTACTCCACTTTGACTTTCAGATGCAATATCCATTACATATAATACTATATAACTATAAGATGCATATTAGTGGCAATTGCTAATGCATTGTACTGTCACTTCTAATGGTGAAAACAATCATTTTGAATTGGCATATCAACATATCTGAGTTAGACCAGCATTATTTACCTTTATGCGATTTAAAACTAAAGTCATTACTTAATTTCATGTGTCATGTGGAAAGTAATATGACATGACCATTGAGTCACAATTGATCTTATATTCAGATGACTTGAGTGACATATGTACTCTACAAGATGTCAAATATTAATAAACTAATACCAAGAAAGGTTGCAAATAAATATTCAGGCCAAAGTTCAGTCCTAAATGGAGCAGGGACATTGAGAACCCTGATGAACGCTTAAGATTTCTTGTCTGAGGAATCATTGCGCCCCCTACTGAGTAACAATGTGTCCGGTACAACATCTCACCTGATCCAAAATTTTTCTTTTCTTTTTCTTTTTTTAAAAAACGTAAAATAATTGTTTTCTTCTTTTAATGTTAAAACGAAATTACCTTAATACATGTAAAATGATTCTGCCAATGTAAAGATAAAACATACTTACGGCAACAGGATTTAGAAAGTCAGTGTGTTCTTTTGAAGCTGAATTCTCTTCCTCTATCTCACTGTCTGAATCAATAGTGGGCAGGTCATCTGTCTCTGAGGGCAAAAGCAGCAGGTTACTGGGATTAAATAACAAGCCAGTGCATATTAAACTACAGTTTTGAAGGTCTAGCATTGCATCCAGAGCAAAAGGTTCTGATTGGACGAGAATATTTTTACATCACTCCACATTCCTGATAGCACTTGTCAAGTAATAATTACACTTCACTTGTTGAGTAACGTACTTTAACACTCTTTAAATGAGAAACATGAGGAATAACGTTATGAGGGAATCAAAAATATTCATTCTTTAATGCCGCTAAATTCTGTTTTACTCAAAAGTATTCTGCCATATAAAGCACCTGCATAATTTATTTTTTGGGATTTCATCTGATGTTTTACAATTCAGGATGTGTATTTCAAACAGAATGGATCCCAACCCCCCCCCCAAAAAAAAATTTGTATTAAATATTTTTATTTACATTTAGAATTGTAATGTTACATTTATAATTTACACATTTATTTAAAAAAATCTTTTTTACACATTTTCCACACACAAATGTAATTTTTAATTATGCATAGACTATCAAAAAAAAAAAAAAAAAATAAGACAGACTGGCCCAAAACGCTGTAATATTCGGGCAATCCTTATTGTTAAGCCCTGAAATCATGGGTCAAATGAAACTCCTGAACGATTCATCCACATAACTACCAAAAAATGTCTCTGTTCTCACCTACACCAGTGCTGAACATCTGCAGACATCTGTAATAGTCAACAAGATGTTGTTTGTGTGCTCTGGGTGGCTGTGGTGCCTGTGTGACATTCAGTCGAGGAGGAGGATGACTATCTCTGTCTGATTCTTCCTCTTCACTGGAGCTCCAGGCAATGTGAACCGGTTCATCTGTGCCAGCATCTCTATTCGCTTAAATTAATATAGTATATTAATTTAATTTAATAGTATATAGTATTCCCTTAAATTTAAATAGTATTTATTTAATAAATTAAATAAATACTATTTAGCAAGGATGAATTCAATTGATCAAAAGTGATAGTAAAGACATTTATAAGGATTTCTATTTCAAAACAAAATGCTGTTCTTTTGAACTTTCTATTCATCAAATAATCCTTTAAAAAAACCGGTACGAGTTTCCACAAAAATATGAAGCAGCACAACTGTTTTCAACATTGATAATAAAAATAAATGTTTTCTGAGCAGCAAATCAGCATATTAGAATGATTTCTGAAGGATCATGTGACACTGAAGACTGGAGTAATGATGCTGAAAATTCAGCTTTGATCACAGGAATAAACTACATTTTAAACATAAAAAAAATAGTAATTATATTTAATAAAATTACTGTTTTTACTGTATTTATTGATCAAATAAATGCAGCCTTGGTGAACCTAACTTCTTTATATAACATTAAAAAGCCCAAATATATTCGAATTATAATATTGTTGCATTTATCTCAATCTTAAATAAATCTCTAACTGATTATTAATCTTTGCAATTTTTAGATTGATGAATCTGTTCTATTACCAGTAACAGACGTCAGAGCCACTTTACGTGTGCTTCTGCTCTTCTTCTCTGATGTTTGCAGCTTCTGAAACACAAACAGCTGATGTTCAGAGCATCTGTGTAACAGACAGATGGCATTACGCACGTCTAGTTTAAGGCACCTGGATGACGGGAGTGTCCAGGAAACTGTCGCCACATTTTCCCCAGGACTTTGTGGCAGGTGTGGACGTTCTGGCAGATGCTTTTCCCGCCTTTCTGAAAGTCTTTCACATCGTCTGGGAATAACACACACCTCCCATGTCCAGGTTTCTCTTGCGCTGAAACCACATATGCACAATATATAATTAAAATCAATTGATACAAAATGTAATAATAATTTTTTTAATATATTTTTTTTTTAATAATTAAGGGTTCAAATAAAAGCTCAAATAAAATTGTTTAGTGGTTTTTAACATTTTATGCTCACTACATAATTCTTGTACTTACGTTTACAATGCATATTATTTATGCATATTAGTTTTCATGGCATTATTTATTAATAAGTAAAATATGAGTAGGCGTGTCCATTTTTTGACTTATAAATACATAGATGGGTCTCTTTTATTGTTCTCTTTTCTTAGCTTAATTTTTTTATTTATATTTCTAGTTCCACGGAGTTTAAACTATTACTACTCCATGCTGTAATGATGTGTAGAGGATAAAAACACTTCGACTGGACTGACAAGTGTATAAAAGTATACAAGTGGTTCTCCCTAACATCTGAAACATATTAAAAGTTTGAGAAAGTCTGTTTACAAGGTGTTTATTGATCGCTTACCTTGCCCATGATGTTAAGCAAGCGTTTTACAACTGTCTCTTTCCTCAAATAGGGATTATTTCCTTATTAAATGATAACTGTTTACATTGTTCGTATTGTAGCTCACTAAACTGCAGCACAGGTAGTTTCTTCTTCGCTTCGTCTCTCCCGCTCTTTCAGTTCGTGAGGCCGCGCGCTACTGACACCTGGCGGCCAGAAACGCTTTATGATCTGAGCACAAGATCCAAGAGATCGGGTCACAATTTCTAAATTTTTTTTTTTTTTTTTATAATAATAATATTATCGACTAAATAAATAAAATCGTCTGTAATGTATTTGTCAAAGAAAATCATACTCTGTTCTCTGAAGACGTTTATTTACATGAAAAACTAATAAATAAAATACTAACGATAACTGAAAAATAATAAACCTGTTCCTTTTCCATAAAATATGCTAATTTGTGTGATTTGTCGAATATTTTTTAAAAGCAATTCAAAGTAAAACTCTTGTCCAAACCCTAAACTTCTCCATACAGCACGCTGAAGGAGTTTCGATTGCATATTTTCTTTATATTAATGACCAGGGTCAAACATTTGGTGTTTTACTTAAAACAGTGGTATTCATGATCTCAGAGATATTAAACAAAACATATGTCTACTATATTGGACAAAAAGAATCATTTTACCCTAAATCTTAATCATAATAAAAACAAATGATTTATTCCTTTTGAAAGCGAAAGGGTTTTATTAGGGCAAGCCTATCATATCTCCAGAGATTTTAAACAGCAAGTTAAACATACAAAAACCATCATTTTGTTTTCTTATTTTTTTTATTAAATATGTAAAAAGCAGGTCAAGTTATTCACAAATAAAATGCAAACATGCAACACATTTGGGGAATGCATAAGGGGAGATACTGTGAGGGAAATAAAAAGAAAAACATTGTCTATTTATAATTATTAACAGTACATTTGTTTACATTCCTTCTCATTGTACACAATAATAAATGACATAAGCGTTGACCTGTGGAGAATATTGACGAGTATCAGATCACGAGAATGCTGTTTTCTGTTCAGAAGACTTGTGCTTTAGAACAATAGTTAACAAAAAATCTTCAATATGCATTGTTTTATTCAGATGACGCCTGATTTTTTTACTGTACATATAAAGTAAAACATGTTTAGACGCAGAATACGGATTGCACAGTTCAAATAATATGCTTCCTATCAAACACTGTGATAAGCTGAGACACATTTAGCCAAAAAAATGAGTATATTTAATCTAATATGGAGACAAATTGAGCATTGTTTCCAAATGAATCACATTGGTTTATATTACCAGTGAGCATTAGGTTATAATGCTAAATTTACCGTGGTAACCAATGGTTAGTCTTCTTGAGGAATCTACCAGGAGGCGATATTTCACAAACTGTATTGGTAGCTCTTTGAGCTACTCTTGTTGTAATATTTTAAAATGTAATGGTTTGATACGTCACATCTGATGTGCGGTGGTTATCATGGGCTTCACACAAACAAGATTCACCATTTATGCTGCTGTCAGATGACATGTTCATAATGCAATTATTCAAGATGCAATTTAAACGGCTTCAAAATGAAAAAAAGAGACACGTTTGAATATTTGGCCAATTTGTCTCATTCCTTTATCACGAGAGCAAATGAGAAATAAACCGTCATGAGTTGAAGGAAATGAACCCAAAAGCAGTTTTCTGACTGAGTGCATGTATGTTCAGGTGTCTGTTTGATTGATAGCTGTTCAGTATTCGTCCTGTGTGTCGTCAGGGACATCCTCCTCCTGAGCCGGAGCCTCATGCTCCTCTCCGCCTGCCTCCTGCACACACACAGTTGTTTGTTGTTAGTTATTTTTGAAGATCTTGTCATATTAGATAACATTAGTCAGTTTGTCTGTTATGAACCATGAAAAACTGCACTATGTATGAGACAGAAGCACTTGATTTGTAGGGTTACAGCACAAGAAACAAGATCAAAAACACAGCAAAAAAGGGTCTTTTACAGATCATCATAATTATGATGTCACAACTAAAGAGTATATTGATTTATGACCATTCAGACGTACATCTATTCAGTACTGAATGACAGTTTGAACTAGAGTAGTAGTACAAAATGTGTTAAAAAATAACAGGTAATTTATAGAAAAGTAGCCGGTGCAATATAGAGGGAGAAAAATAATCATGAAAAATTATGACCATTTTTTGGCCTTGACCAACATAATAAGTGGACTTCAGGGGGAAAATGCTATGCAAGTGTAGAATATGAATATGAAAAATAAACAATAAAGGTCTATTTTATTAAAACAAAAAAGAAAGTAATAAATAAAATAAAAAACATTAAAATTACTAATATTATATGGTGTGATGTTTTGTTAAAGACCTATCTAAAACAATTAATTTAAATAGGTTTGATGTATTAAAAGAACATAAAAATAGTAATAATAATAATAATAATAATAATAATTTGTGAATGGTGTTAAGATTTTATTAAAAGAAAAAAAGAGCACAAAATGTAATATATAAATATATATATATAAAATATAAATGAATGTGATTTCTTATAAAAAATAATAATAATTTGTGTGATGTTTTATTAAAAAGCAGAAAGTAGACAGACAGACAGAGAAAGAAAGAGCTGAAAAAGAACTTGAACTGAAGTACTAACCTCGTCTGCAGAGTACAGCACCTCCATGAGTCTCTCCACGAAGGGCCCGTTGTCCTGGCCCTGCTCCTGACACAACAGCTCCACCTCTCTCAGCTTCCCAAAGTAGAAATCCCGCTCCTTCTCCACTCCTTCTAGTGCTAGCTTTAATGTATTGAGCTGCAGCAGAGGAGAGACGCAAGAGTTATCAATGACATAAAACACTGTCAATGGACTGCTGAAAATACTGACAGTAAAAGATGGTTATTGCTTTAGTAGACATGCTTTTAAACAACATAATTCGTCCTTGAATGTTTACATTTCCTGATGCTGAATTTGAGTGCTCAAAAAATTTGTTTTTTCCAAGTTTAATCGTGTGTATGATCCAAAAAAAATGTCCTTTCTTTGTTTTTTGTGCACAATTAACAATGCATGACTATTATTTAAAGGGGTCATATGATGCTTTTTTAAAGATCATTATTTTGTGTATTTGGTGTAACAGAATATGTTGACATGCTTTAATGTTCAAAAAACACATTATTTTTCAAATACTGTACATTATTGTAGGTCCTATATGCCCCGCCTCTCTCAAACGCTTCGTTTTCTACAAAGCCCCCTCCTT